ACAGGGAGGCAACGAGTCATGGAACATGATGAGGTATCACAGTGGGCGCTGTGACGAGCGGTGTCCCACAGGGGTCAGTCTTAGGACGGGTGCTATTTTTGGTATATGTGAATGACATGATGGAAGGGATAGACTCAGAAGTGTCCCTGTTTGCAGATAAATGTGAAGTTAATGAGGAGAATTAAATTAGATGAGGATCAGGCAGGACAACAGAGAGACTGGACAGGCTGAACAAGTGGTCCAGCAACTGGCTTCTCGAATTCAAACCCGCCAAATGCAAAGTCACGAGATTGGGAAAGGGGGTAAAGACCATCATAGACAGAGTATAGGCTACGTGGCCAAAAACTGCAAACCTCACTCAAGGAGAAGATCTTGGGGTAAGCATAACCCCTGAGCACATCTCTGGAAGCACAAATCAACCAGATAATTGCTGCAGCATATGGGCACCTGGCAAACCTGAGAATAGCGTTCCGAGACCTTAGTAAGGAATCGTTCAAGACACTGTACACACTGTAAGTCAGGCCCATACTGGATTATGTAGCACCAGCTTGGAGCCCACACCTGGTCAAGCACATCAAGAAATAAAGAGAAAGTGAAAAGGTTTGCAACAAGGTTAGTTCCAGAGCTCAGGGGAATGTCCTATGAAGAAAGGTTGAAAGAAATCAGCCTGACAATACTGGAAGACAGGAGGGTCAGGGGAGACATACAATATATTCCGTGGAATAGATAAGGAGGACAGAGACAGGATGTTCCAGAGAGGACACAGAAACAAGGGGTTACAACTGGAAGCTGAAGACTCAGACAAGTAATAGGGATGCCAGGAAGTATTCCTTGTCAGAGTTGCCAGGAAGCAGAATAGTCTAGGGGTGACGTAGTGGAGGCAGGAACCATACATAACTTTAAGATGAGATGTGACAAAGCTCAGGGAGCTTTGTCACACATCTCACACACACACAGAGAGAAGAAGGAGAAGAAAGAGAAGAAGAAGAAAGAGAGGAGAGAGAGAAGGAGAGAGAGAAGGAGAGAGGAAGGAGAGAAGGAGAGAAGGAGAGAGAGAAGGAAAGAGAGAGAGAAGAGAGAGAAGAGAGAGAGAAAGAGAGAGAGAGAAGAGAGAAAGGGAAAGAGAGAGGAGAGAGAAGAGAGAGAAGAAGAGGGGAGAGAGGAAAGAGAAGAGAAGAGAAGGGGAAGAGAAGAGAGAGAGAGAAGGAGAGAGAGAGAGAGAAGAGAGAGAGAGAGAGAGAGAAGGGGAGAGAGAGAGAGGGGAGAGAGAGAGAGAGAGAGGAAAGAGAGAGAAGAGGAGGGGGGGGGGGAGAGAACAGTGAAAGAGGGGGGTCAGGAGCTGAGAGTTTGGAGATGACACACAAATTAGGTGAGAAGATCTGCAATCCTAGGTACTTAACCTCTCAATGATTTAGAAAGATGGAAGAGGGTAAGGAAGGGGTTGAGAGGAAGAGAGTAGCTTTTTATAAAGGAAATGGGCAAAAGGGAGTAGAAAAATGTAGGGGAAGTAAGTCTAGTTGAATCCGGAAAGGTGTAGGTTTACCAGAGTTTACCTGGAGAGGGTTCGGGGTCAATGCCCCCAGGCTTACTTCTTGAACAGTCAGGAGTCAGGGTCGATCACACCAGGTGGTACTGCTGGCTGCACGCATCCCGTACGGCACCAAAGGGTGGCGTCAAACTGATTTAGGGCTAGTCAGTGCTCTGGAAAGAAGGCCAGGGGTCTATTGTAATCCCCCTTATGTATGCTGGGGGCAGTGAACAGCTCTTGAGCCCTCATCAACAGTCTGTTGTTCTTAACGTGCTAGTGACACCCCTGCTTTTCATTGGAGGGATGTTGCATCGTCTGCCAAGTCTTTTGCTTTCGTAGGGAGTGATTTTTGTGTGCAAGTTTGGTACTAGTCCCTCTAGGATTTTCCAGGTGTATATAATCATGCATCTCTCCCACCTGCATTCCAGGAAGTACAGGTTCAGGAACTTCAAGCACTCCCAGTAACTGAGGTGTTTCATCTCAGTTATGCGTGCCATGAAGGTTACCTGTACATTTTCTAGGTCAGCAATTTCACCTGCCTTGAAAGGTGCTGTTAGTGTGCAGCAATACTCCAGCCTAGATAGAACAAGCGACCTGAAGTGTGTCATCATGGGCTTGGTATCCCTAGTTTTGAAGGTTCTCATCCATCCTGTCATTTTTCTAGCAAATGCAACTGATACAATGTTATGGTCCTTGAAGGTGAGATCCTTCGACACGATCACCCCCAGGTCTTTGACGTTAGTTTTTCACTCTATTGTGCGGTTGGAATTTGTTTTATACTCTGATGAAGTTTTAATTTCCTCATGTTTACCATATCGGAGTAACTTAAATTTCTCATCCTTGAACTTCGTATTGTTTTCTGCAGCCCATTGAAAGATTCAGTTGATGTCCACCTGGAGCCTCGCAGTGTCTGCAATAGAAGACAATGTCATGCAGATTCAGGTGTCATCTGCAAAGGAAGACACGGTGCTGTGGCTTACATCCCTGTCTGTCAGATATGAGGATGAGGAACAAGATGGGAGCGAGTACTGTGCCTTGCGGAACAGAGCTTTTCACCCTAGCCGCCCAGACTTTAATCTGTTGACTACTACTCTTTGTGTTCTATTTGTCAGGAAATTATAGATCCATCTACCAACTTTTCCTGTTATTCCTTTAGCAAGCATTTTGTGCGCTATTATGCCATGGTCACACTTGCCAAAGGCTTTTGCAAACTCTGTGTATATTACATCTGCATTCTTTTTGTCTTCTAGTGCATCTAGGACTTTGTCGTAGTGATCCAGTAGTTGGGACAGACAGGAGCAACCTGCTCTAAACCCATGCTGCCCTGGGTTGTGTAACTGATGGGTATCTAGATGGTAGCGATCTTGCTTCTTAGGACCCTTTCAAAGTTTTTTATGATATGGGATGTTAATGCTATCGGTCTGTAGTTCTTTGCTATTGCTTTACTGCTCCTTTTGTGGAGTGGGGCTATGTCTGTTGTTTTTAGCAACTGTGGGACAACCAGTGTCCATGCTCCCTCTCCATAGGATGTTAAAAGCACATAATAGGGGCTTCTTGCAGTTCTTGATGAACACTAAGTTCCACGAGTCTGGCCCTGGGGCAGGGTGCATGGGCGTGTCATTTATCACCTGTTCGAAGTCATTTGGTGTTAGGATAATGTCAGATAGGCTTGTGTTTACCAAATTCTGTGGCTCTCTCATAAAAAATTCATTTAGATCTTCGACTCTCAGTCTGGTTAGCGACTTGCTAAAAACTGAGTCATATTGGGACTTGAGTAGCTCACTCATTTCCTTGCTGTCATCTGTGTAGGACCCATCTTGTTTGAGTAGGGGACCAATACTGGATATTGTTCTCAACTTTGATTTGGGTTTCTTTCAATTTCATTTATGGCTTTGAGTTCTTCCCGCGATTCCTGACTCCTATATGATTCCTTTAGCTTTAGTTCGATGTTTGCTATTTCTCTGACCAGTCTCTCCCTACGCATTGCAGATATATTGGCCTCTTTTAGCTGCTCTGTTATTGTTTTCCGTCACCTGTAAAGGGAGCGCCTGTCATTTCTATTTTACATCTACTTTCCCTTTTTTCTTAAAGGAATATGCCTTGAGCATGCATCGAGTGCCATAGAGTTAATCTGTTCTAGGCATAAGCTGGGGTCTGTGTTGCTTAGGATATCTTCCCAGCTTATATCATTTAGGACCTGGCCTGTCCAGTGCCCTCTTAAAGACAGCCAGGGGCCTATTGGTAATCTCACTCATGTATGCTGGGAAGCAGCTGAACAGTCTTGGGCCCCAGACACTTATTGTGTTGTCTCTCAATGTAGTCATGGCACCCCTGCTTTTCATTGGGGAAATGTTGCATCTCCTGCCGAGTCTTTTGCTTTCATAGTGATTTTCGTGTGCAGGTTTGGTACCAATCCCTCCAGCACCTTCCAAGTGTATATTATCACATACATATCTCTCTCGCGTGCGTTCCAGGGAATACAGATCACGGACCTTCAACCGTTCCCAGTAATTTAGATGTCTTATTGTACTTGTGTGTGCATGAAAGTTATTTGTACACTCTCCACTCCAGGTCTGCAATGCCGCCAGCCTTGAAGGTGGCCTATTCCAGCCCAGAGAGCAAAAGCGATTTGAAGAGAATCATCATGGGCTTGGTGTCCCTAGTTCTGAAGGTTCTCATTGTCCATCCTATTATTTTCCTAGCAGATGAGGTAGATACATTTTTGTGGTCTTTGAAGGCGAGATCCTCCGACATTATCACTCCTCTCTATTGTATGGTTAGAATTTGTCGTATACCGATACATTTTTAATTTCCTCAAGTTTCCCATATGTGAGTACAGTGGAACCTCGGGTTACAAATTTAATCCGTTCCGTGGACTTGTTCGTATCCTGATTTGTTCATATGCTGGATCAATTTTCCTCATTTAAATTAACTGAAATGCAATTAATTCGTTCCAGGTGAATTCCTGCTCTCAGAAGGCATGACAAAATAACCTTAATAACAACTCTACAGCTTATTTATGTCACAATTCATCTAATATGACATAATAAACAATATAAATAACATACAAACCTGATATACACTTTAGAATGAATAAAATGTGTCATTACATGGACGGCGGAGGGAGGAGGATTGTGGTCGGGAGTGGTCGCGCTTTCTCGCTATGAAAACACCAGAGGTGTTATTATAAGAGAAAACGGAGTTTGTGAGGCTAACTGAATTAGATCTGGTGTACATACAACATTTACATACCTTGGAGTAGAAATGCAGAGTGGCATATCCTGTAAGGAGTTCACACTTTTTTTTGAACTATGTACAATTTTTATGTTTATCTCACTACACTACATATTCATTGACTTTTTGGCTTTTTCTCCACGTTTGTCACACTTTCATCTGCAGGGAGTTTCAATAAATAACTGTCCAAGGAGGTCTGTTTCTTCCTCCCTTTCAGAATGTTTCGGAAATGATTTACGCAAGCTTCATTGCATAGCTCCAACGCACAACCACTTGAAACTTTCTCTGGGTGTTTCTTCTCAATAAAGTCTGAAAATCTCTCCCAGATTCCCAACATTTCCTTTATCTCACTTGTGGAGACGTACTCCTCCACATCTTGTGCCTCCGTGGTACGAATGTCCTGCAAAACCTCCTGATGCTGTTGATCATGTAGTTCATCCAACTCCTCCGTCATCAGCTCCTCGGAGTGCTCCTCGATGAATCGTTCATGTCATCTTCATCCACCTCCATGCCCATGACCTTTCCAAGGGACACAATCTCCTCCACCACTGGCACTTTGAGTTCGAATCCTTCTAAGTCCCTTTCAGACACAACCTCAGGCCACAGCTTCTTCCACGCTGAGGTCAAGGTTCCCCTTGTAACAACCTGCCAGGTCATATTTATAATTTTGAGGCATATCACATGTTATAGTGGTCCTTCCAGAACTCTCGAAGGGTCAAGTTTGTGCTCTCTGTCACGTCAAAGCAGCGGCAGAACTGGTGCATGGTGAAGAGCTTCCTGAAATTACAAATCACCTGCTGGTCCATTGGCTGCAGGATAGGGGTGGTGTTGGGTGGAAGGTAGAGAACCTTTATAAACTTGAACTCTTCAATTATGTCATCTGCGATGTTCGGTGGGTGAGCAGGTGCATTGTCCAGGACGAGAAGGGCTTGCAGGAGTAGGTTACCTTCCTGGAGATACTTCTTAATGGTAGGACCAAAGACCAGGTTTACCCACTCCACAAAGAACTGCCTGGTGACCCATGCCCTCGGGTTTGCCCTCCACATAACATGCAGCTTGTCTTTTAGAATCTTATGCGAGTTAAAGGCTCTGGGGTTTTCTGAATGATATACGTGCAGCGGCTTGATCTTGCAATCGCCACTCGCACTGGCACACAGTGCAAGGGCTAACCCATCCTTCATGGGTTTGTGGCCTGGCATCTTCTCCTCTGCAGTTATGCAAGTACTCCTTGGCATCTTCTTCCAGAGGAGCCCTGTCTCGTCACAGTTGAAGACTTGCTGAGGGATGTATTCTTCATCTGCTACCACTTCTGCAAAAGTTTTGATAAAATCCTCAGCTGCCTTCACATCAGAGCTCGCTCTCTCACCATGCCTGATGACAGAGTGAATGCCGGACCTCCTTTTAAATTTTTCGAACCAGCCCCGACTGGCTTTAAATGACGTTTCTGATGCCTCGTCCGTTGATGTGCCTTAGGTCTTCTGCAGCAAATCAACATAAATGCCTCGTGCCTTCTCGTCGATGATACCCTCAGTCACAGTATCTCTTGTGAGCTGTTTCCCCGTCAACCATGTCAACAGTAGCTTTTCCATCTTTTCGTTGACAGAGGTCCGCTGCTTAGAAATTACTGTAACACCCTTTGCTAGTGCTAAAGCCTTTATACACTCTTTCTGCTTTAGTATTGTACATATAGTAGAGGGGCTACACTTGTACTCACTCGCCAAGTCCTTAACCCTCTTACCTAGTCTGTGCTGATCAATAATTTCTTGTTTTAATTCCATGCAGATTATCCTCTTTTTCTTCTCGGCACTGTCCGTTGCACTTGCTTTCTTAGGACCCAAGGTTAGAAGAAAAAAATCTGGCAAATTAACTGCAAAAAACGTAAGGAAATCAGGAGAATTCCTTGCACCGCTAGGGTAGCTCCGTAAGCACATGTGCACTGGTGAGCATTGTTTTGATTGACACTATCTGGTGGTGGCGTTGTCAAACTAAATCATACGCAGTACGTACATACATGTACTATTATTATTATTGTACTATTATGTATTATATTGTTATTTTATTATTATATTATACGTAATTATTATGTATTATCAACATTATTAGTTAATAACTGTATTAAATATAATAATAATAATAATTTATTATTATTATTAATGTATTATAATTAAAAATTATTAATTTAGAATTCCTAGATCAAGAGCCCCTCACCCATACATTACGAATTTGTAACTACTACTACTACTACTTAAAATAATAATAATTATTATTATAACAATAATAATAATCATACAATATAATGGTAATAATAATAATAACAGTAAGGAGAAACTTCAAAAGGCTGCCAGTAGTTGGCGCCACCATCAGCAAAACATTGGACTTAAGTACATGTAGTCTTAACCCTGTTTTATGTTGTTAGTACTGTACAGTGGACCCCAGCATAGCGACTTTAATCCGTGCAAGAGGGCTCATTGTTATGCGAAATGATCGGTATGCGAATGAATTTTCCCCATAAGAAATAATGGAAATCAAATGAATTCGTGCAAGACACACAAAAGTATGAAAAAAAAAAAAAATTACCACATGAAATGTTAATTTTAATACACACAAACTGAAAAAGGCATGCACAATTACATGACACTTACTTTAATTGAAGATCTGGTGATGACTGATGGGATGGGAGGAGGGGAGAGAGTGTTAGTGTTTAGAAGGGGAATCCCCTTCCATTAAGACTTGAGGTGTCGAGTCCTTTTCTGGGGTTACTTCCCTTCTTCTTTTAACCCTTTGACTGTTTCAGGCCCCTCTCTGAAACTGTCATTCTATGTTGCTCAATTTTTGAAAAAAAAAAAAAAATTATTTTTTCTTATGAAATGATAGAGAATCTTTTCCCGATGGTAATGACACCAAAAGTTCGAAATTTGGTCGAAAACTCGTGGAATTATGCTCCCGCGAAGTTAGCGGTCTCGGCGACATATGCGTATCGGCGATTTCGCCGACTTTGAGCCCTATTTTCAGCCAATTCCATTGTTCCAGTTGACCAAACTCATAGCCATTTCTTTAGAACTCCATTTTATCTATCAGCTGAGTACAAGAAACCTCCCATTTACTAATTTGGACTACCCAATATGGTGGTCAGAAATTGGCAATTTGGCCAATTTCACGCAAAATAAAAAAGATGCCAATTTCAAAATAGGGTCCAGAATAAACAAGGTAGACATTCGTGGCACTAAAATAACATATGCTCTGTTCATTAGTCACATCTCTAGGCCCCTCTTATATTATTATTGCTTTCTATTTTGATTTTTTATTCATACAAAAAAATACAAAATTTACTGTTATGCAGACGACTGCATTATTGTAAAAATGGTATAAATAATATCAGTGCACTAGTGAAAGAATATTAGACTCCCCAGTTGACGTGTATTGGATGTGTGGTGTGATTTATTTACTCTTGAACATTGGTAAAAATCGAACATTTCCGCTACTTTAGAGCTCAGTTTCAAGGTCGTTTTCATCGTAAAAGTAATGAAAATCATCTCTATTTCTGTAATATGTTTTCCATTTTATCACCTAAGACCATGAAAACGCGAATACAACGATAAATACTATACGAAAATACACCTCAAAGTCGTCGTTTTATTCCAAAAAAACGATCAGTTTTTTTTTTCTCATTACGCAATGTGTGCTGCAGGATTTTTTTTATGTGGTGCACACTGACCACACAGACCCATTCTCTCACATGTGGGCCTACCAGCTTTCTCCCACTTGATTTGAAGCCGCTAGAATTATTGAGTATATATACGTCAGAAACATTGGCTCGTAAGACGTATTTATACGTCGAAAACAGTCAAAGGGTTAATGCCACTAGGACCAGCTTCAGAGTCACTGGACTTCTTTCGCACAACATATCTGTCCATAGTGGCCTGTACCTCTCGTTCCTTTATGACTTCCCTAAAGTGTTTCACAACATTGTCAGTGTACAGGTTGCCAACACGGCTTGCAATAGCTGTGTGAGGGTGATTTTCATCCATGAAGGTTTGCACTTCAAGCCACTTTGCACAGATTTCCTTAATCTTTGTAGTAGGCAACTTCTTCAATTTCTCTCTCCCCTCCTCTGAACCAGTTTCCTCAGGTCTGGCCTCTTGCTGTTGAAGTTGATCTATCAGCTCATCAGTGGTTAGTTCTTCATTGTCCTCCTCCACCAACTCTTCCACATCCTCCCCACTAACCTCCAACCCCAAGGACTTTCCCAATGCCACAATGGATTCCTCAACTGGCATAATCCTCTCAGGGTTAGCCTCAAACCCTTCAAAATCCCTTTTGTCTACACATTCTGGCCACAGTTTCTTCCAAGCAGAGTTCAAGGTCTTCTTAGTCACTCCCTCCCAAGCCTTACCTATAAGGTTTACACAATTGAGGATATTAAAGTGCTCTCTCCAAAACTCTCTTAGAGTCAGTTGAGTTTCTGAGGTCACTACAAAGCACCTTTCAAACAAGCTTTTGTGTACAGTTTTTTGAAGTTTGCAATAACCTGCTGGTCCATGGGCTGCAGGAGAGGAGTGGTATTAGGAGGCAAAAACTTCACCTTAATGAATTTCATGTCCCATAAAGTCGCTCTGCCACGTCTGTAGGATGACCAGGGGCATTGTCTAACACCAGGAGGCACTTAAGTTCTAATTTCTTTTCAGTTAGGTAATCTTTCACATTGGGGGCAAATGCATGGTGTAACCAGTCATAGAAAAGTCCCTAGTGACCCATGCCTTACTGTTTTGCCCTCCACAGCACACACAAATTCTCCTTGAGGACATTCTTTTGCCTGAACGGTCTGGGAGTTTCAGAGTGATACACTAATAAAGGCTTCACTTTGCAATCACCAGTAGCATTGGAATACATCAACAAAGTAAGCCTGTCTTTCATAGGCTTATGTCCTGGGAGTGCCTTTTCCTCCTGAGTAATGTAGGTCCTGCTTGGCATTTTCTTCCAAAACAGGCCTGTTTTCATCACAATTAAACACTTGTTCAGGTTTCAGTCCTTCACTGTCTATGTACTCCTTGAATTCCTGCACATATTTTTCAGCTGCTTTGTGGTCCGAACTGGCAGCCTCACCATGCCTTATCACACTATGTATGCCACTACGCTTCTTAAATCTCTCAAACCAACCTTTGCTGGCCTTAAATTCACTCACATCATCACTAGTTGCAGGCATTTTTTTAATTAATCCTCATGCAACTTCCTAGCCTTTTCGCTTATGATCGCTTGAGAGACGCTATCTCCTGCTAGCTGTTTTTCATTTATCCACACCAATAAGAGTCTCTCAACATCTTCCATCACTTGCGATCTCTGTTTCGAAAACACAGTTAAACCTTTGGCAAGAACAGCTTCCTTGATTGCCTTTCTGTTGCCCACAATAGTAGCGATGGTTGATTTGGGTTTCTTGTACAACCTGGCCAGGTCGGC